GTATTCAGCTTCTTGAAAGCTATTCTATACCTTATCCTTTCCTATAAAAATATGTTGCAATATGTTCAAATCACTATGTACACCTTTTAGGTCTTGAATCAAGAAGTCCTAAAATAGGGATGACTAAATTGAAATGATTAAAGTGGTATTAAACCCAAAAACAAAAATGTAAGATATTGAAGCTTTCAGTCCTAAAATGTGGTGGTTCCACTAGTTATTTTGGCCTTTTCTCCTTTATTTTAACATGGTGATCCAGCAAGTAGTTACACGGTTAGGCTGAAAAAAAGTCACAAGTCCTTCTAGTTCAACCAATAGAAAAAAAAAAAAAATTAACATAGCATTGAAAATCTGTGGAGAGGGTAGTGTTAGATATACTAGCAGGTTGAGACTTCACAAAAATATTAAAAGCTGAACTTCAGTTAACACATTTTCAGCAGTTACTTCAATTTTTTTTTTTATGTTTAGGAACACGGTTTTACAAAAATGAACTAAAGCTGATCATTGCAGGCACAACTGTTAGTGTTAAATGGTTTCTTTTAACACTTAAGAAAGTTGAAAAATAACAGACCTACCGGCTGAATCACCAAGTAAGAATGCAGGAAAAAAAACCTATCAAACCTAATACAGGGACCACATTTATAAGCTGCGATATAATACATGTTTGCTTTTGTGTTTATTACCACTTTAAATCTTTGTTTGTAAAGGATGAACCTCTTCCACAGATCATTGAAAAGGTGTATCTGCTGATCTTTTCTTGAAACTGACAACTATATTACAGTCACTGTCTCTGATTTACTACAAGCATTTTAGGTGGTTCACTGAGCAGAGTAAATTTTCACTTTGCAATGGAATTTTTCCTTAGCTTAGTGAATGTGGTAAAATTTAATTTTGCAAAGAATACTAAAAGAAGTGCAAGAAAATATTTAAAACAAAACAGCATTTTTGCTTGAACATGATGATGAAAGTCAGCAGAGCAGGTTGACCCATTTTTTTTACCTCATTAATTATGGGGGACTGTCCATTTTCTTGAATAAATTAGTCTGAGTACTGGACTTTAAATTTAAAGAATACCTCAATTGATAAAGTATTGTGCCCTCCCTATATACGTCCTCTTGTCCCGTGCTTATAGATAGAGCATACTAGTCAAAACTGTCCCCTTTTTCTGTCTACAGACTAGGGGGGCATTTCTGCACCTGCAAAAATTGCTAGTACAGAAAAGAAAAGGTGCAGTAGCCCATAGATGCCAGCTGTAGACACTCTTGGTTCATGGGTAGAACACAGGAGTAGAAACAGGGAAAAGGGGCAATTTTCAGTATATCTTTAGGCACTTATTACAAGGGAATTTAAGAAGGTATATTGAGAAGCAGTACTTTATCACTATAGTTACCCTTTAGCCTCTTCCTCACTAGCAATTTTTTTCATTTTTCACAAACATGTTCAAATCAGCAATAATGGCTACAATATTAAATATTTTCAGATACAGAGGCCTTGTAGAATTAAAATATGGTAGTTGCAATTTTTTATGTTGGCATGATATTTGCACACTCTCTATTTTAAGGCAAAATTACAGTAAATGAAGTTTAGTGCACACAAACACAATTTAATTCTAAATTACAATTTTACAAAATAAAAGATGAGGTAGCTGCATAAGGTAACTGTTTTACCGCACTTAAAATTATTAATAGATGATGTCTTTCCAGCAATGATTGCTCTAACTCTGGTGGGCACAGTCATTTATAACATGCATGACACAAGTGTCTACACATGTGTACGCTTTGCGTGTGTTTGTGAGTACGCAGGGTGATGAGGGTGCTTTTAATTACTTTAGTTATTTTAATTAAAAAATGTTCAACTAGTTAATACATTACTATCTGAACTGTTTTAATAAATATTTTGATACTGGTGGTTTTCTGTGCAGAATGGCTCCTTAACTACTTCTCTCCAACAGCACAGCAATTGGGATCACTTCTGCAAACTCTTTGCTGAAATGTTCAATTTACAATCATTAAGTACATAGTGATTACTGTAGAAAAAAGGGCAAACATTTTTGCTGTATTGGCCAAAATATGTTCAAGCCTATTCAAAACTGGTCCCCAGAAACATAAAAAAAAACATTTATGGCTTCATTGTACAATGCCAAAATAAGACAATTTTTCATGTAAATTCAAGAATAATAATATGTTTGTGCTTTCAGTCATAGCACTCATGACATAACTGCTAAGCTAAAATATAAAACTGTGTGAGGTATGTGTGGGTGTATATAAAAAGGGGGGGGGGTGGAATTCCTGCAAAGGGAAGAAGATGAGATTTATTGAAAAGTGTTTGCAATATGTTTACAAATGCAATGTAAAATATATGCAAGCTACTACTGACTATATGTAGTATACAAACTTGTACTTATTGCCTTTGTGTGTTTCCTTTTAAAAGTGGCACCTGCACAGGGATAAAATTCAAGTGGACTTCTGTAGGGCACAGAAACCTGATCCACATTTCTTGAGTGAAACTCATATTTTACATTCCACATCTATGCCTTGATACACATGCCTCAAAGAGTGAAGTAAGAGTTCAGTTTGCATTCAATGCTTTATGTTGTTTTAACACCTTTAGAACAGCCAGCTGCCAAATGTTCTGGCAGAAAAAGGTTAAATGGTTTTGTCAGTAGTGCCACCATACCTGGGGACAAATATATTGCCAGTTTCACATTCTGCTTGAATGACTTCATAGATGTAAAGGCTATGAAGTTGGGGTAAAGTTGATGACAGCCTCATTTCTAAGGTGGCTTCAGCAATTTGGCACATAAATTCAGAGTCTCAAGGAATTGGCACATAATAAAAAGCTTCTCAACTCCAGGACCAAGCTCTGTCAATTGGCACATGAAGAAAACAAAATAAAAATGAGCCAGGAATCTTAAAGAACTATGATCCAATAGCTCAGGGAAATGGCACAGGGATACAGAGCCTTCAAACCTATAAAATAGGTGTCTTGGGGCAAGACACACAGCCATCTCCCTCTGTGTAACTACAAATTCATTAAAAAGTCTATTGAAAAAAAAAAATCAACCACATATTTACAAAAAAATAAATAAATAAAAATAACAGTGGGCGGTAGGACCCCATCCTGTTTTTCTGATGACCGAAGCGGCACCCTGATTTCTCTCCCTTCACACTTATGGTGATGGAAGGACAAATTGGAGGCTAGGATGGCGCTTCCCATTATCTCCAGCTATAACCATGTGCCGCCTAGGAGAAATTAAGATTAATGCCCTTATGGTCATAGCTCTTGTGCTAGGATACTGCCCTCAGTCACCACACCAACCATACCATGTGCTCAGTACACTTTCTAGGCCATCTTCCATCGTCCATCCAATAAAGTGTTATCTGCTTCAGTAAACATTAATGGAAATACGCATACGTGAACATTATGTTATAGGCTGACTTTCAGAGCTTGTTACAGGTAGCCCTCAGAAATATTGATCATTTTACTATGATCAACCAGTATGTGCTTAATGGCAAATGGCAAGAATACTCTACATTTGATTTGTATATTCATTGTAGCAAGGGTCAGAAAACAGTTTTGTATTTTTCCATTTAATTATATTTAACCGGTTTGAAATCTATCATTGCAGCCATTAGAAGTCTGGGATTTTACATGGACAAAATAAATGTAAAAAATCTGGAGTGAAGTGGCAAAATTCACTCACTTGTGACATATGATATTTAAATATAATGCTGTTTATGGTGTACGGAAACAGGCTGTGGGAAATGATGAGCCTCAAGATTGCTAAAAAAATGCCTTCACTATGAAGGACAACCATAATTCCTAAACCCAGACTGGTACTATCTGTTCCTGAAAAGACAGTGCCATACTAGGAAGCCCTTGGATGCAGATGTGATTCATATAGCCTATTGTCCTGATAATTCTATTTCTATGTCTAATTTTAAACAGTCTTATGGCTGAGATCATAGAAGTAATGAACTGCAGAACAGCAGAATTACAAGTCTTGCACAGCCAACTAAATATAAAAAATATATATTTTTTAAAAGATTACACTGCTGGATTTTTGAGTTTACTATTCTACAAATGAATGAAAAGCACAAAATCCCAATCCTGCTAGTGGAATACTATTTTTATGGGCATTACAAGTAGCTATAAATATTAAAGTGATGTTCCTGAGCAGCAAAAACATTTTCAATTCTTTAAAGAACCAACATATTTTTTTTTTTTTTTTTATGTGTTTGAAAAGTAAATATCTGTGCAGGGTATGGAATCCCTAATGATCAGATCTGAATGCAAATAAACAAAATATTGTTTTAAAACAAATGCATGGTTGGAACAAAGTAAGTTGGAGATGGATGGACAAGTGGAGCTATCTCACTTTAGGATTTATGTAGTCATATATTTCCAGCCACCTGTGTATTCAGACATTCTCAACACAAGCATACATTATCACTTAATTCAGGGCAGTTCCCAGTTATCCCTTCAGTTATCATTGCCTCATCTACACAGAATGCCCAGCTTGCATTCCTACATTAAGAGGATTTTGGAAGCTTCCTATAGTGTAAGCAGTACCCTCTTTCATTCTAAACTTCCCCTGCACCAACATTTCTTTTTTTTCGTTCAACTGACCCTTCCGATTCTAAGTCTTTTCCAAGCTCTTCATTTCATGGTTTAGGAAGAAAATTCAAGAATGTCTGTACATATTAATTTCTCCTCCCTTCCTTACAGCGCTCAGCCCAGGTCTCAGGAAAATTAAGACAAACAATAACCCCCCTACCCCTCTTTATTGTCAGCTTGGTGCTTCTTCAGGCTAGATATGAACTCCGTATGAATAGAAATACGAGATGGCCCCAGGAAGAGAAGAAAAATGAAAGGGAATAGAAAAGCTGCATTTCATCCCATACCAACAGCATTCAAGAACACCTGTGTCCTGCTTCACTGTATGAGAATAACATTTGGGAACTGGGAAACACAGAATTTAGGTCCCAGCCCAAATTCCCCTCTCAGACGTCTGACTCAATGCTGGATAACTTCTCATACACATGGCCATTGGTAGAGTTGTTGAAAGATCTGGGGTTCTTATTGTTTGAAACGCAGGCATTGGATTGATTTCCTATACAAACGTCTTTTTGGAAACGTCCAGTGGGACCCGCATGTAAAGCAGTGAGTGATTTACCAGTCCCTCGGAAGTCCGATCTTCCCTTCAAGCCACCAATAGCTGGTTGCCTAAAATAGTAGGGCTTGCTCCCATGCAACAGACATTGATCATCCCCAAAAGTTGGAATAAATGGGTTTTGGGTGACTCGGTCAGGGTAAAGGGAACGGCTGAGCATGTACCCCCCTGGATTATGGCCTGGGCCATGGGATTTGCTTGCAAAGGATGACTCATTAGGCATTTCAAACATATGGGCATAAGGGCTGCCATCCAAGAAGCGCTCCTTATCTTTCAAGCTGACGCTGCGTGGAGCTAAGGTCACGTCTTCTTTCTGAAGGTCCACAAAAGTATCATATGAATGCTGGCGATGGAGCTTGCTTCGGTTTCGCTTCTGGGCTTTGCCATTTGATGGGCTCTGTGGATATTTGGAGTTGGCAGGTGGAATTGGTCGAGCATCCAAGTCTTGGAGTGAGTTGTCCTCACTGATGTCATAAAGGTTTCCTGCCTTCTTGCAGACTTCACAGCGAATACAAGCTGGGCGGTTGGTGTTCTGCCCTGCGTAATTGTGCACCTTTGAAGGACAGTTACGACAAAAGTTAGTTGCAGTTCTGTCCTCCCACTCCATGTTAGAAAGATTTTTCTCCCAAGCATTTCCTCCAGTGCCATGTTTTCTTTCATTCTGCCCATACTCACTTGTATGTTTCTGATGTTGTCTATTAGAGCAAGAACTTTCATGTTTAAACTCCTCCCCTCTTTCTTTGTACATATCTGTCAGGTCTACATGTTCCCAGTGGGGGGGTGTTTTCCTTGGTCCGGAACTGATCCAGATAAAAATCTCGTAGACCTTCTTTGTCTCTGAAGTAGCGTTTGTGATCAGGAGACCTTGGACGCCGACGGTAGGCCAGTTCTATCTCATCAAATTCCCTTCGAGATTTAGCAGATGCTGGCCTTTTCTTTAGGCTATCTTTATATTGCTTTCTCCTTTTTGCATTGCCTTCAATGTTGCCATAAGTGACGGTATGTGTGGATATATCAGAAACATCTGACCTAATTAAGTCATCATGGGCTCCATAACGATCACTTTTAAATGAAAATTTTCCATAAAGGTCACCTATTTGGGTGGTTGGGTGTTTAGTCGGCAAACCTATATCCAAAGGAGGTTTCTTGGATAGTGATCTGGGCTGTGTTGTGAAAGGAGCATTTTCACAGTCATACAAACCATCAATAGAACTATTACTCCCTATACTGTGTGGCCTGTGATGGTGAAAATGATCTTGGTAGACATTACTGTCTTTAAGCTGAAGGTTACCAAAGGTCCTTTCCACTTCAGAGATGTAGTCACTGAATAGATTCTCCTCAGGCTGAAAAGATTTGCAGTCGGAGTGAGTAAAGCTCCGCCGATGTTCAGAGATATCATATACTGAGGATTCCCGGCGTATGAAGTCTAATGCACTCTGGGGAGACCCATTTACCCCAGAAAGATTAGCCATATTCTTGGCAGTCCGGAGGAGTCGTAGTATATTAGAGTGAGTGTTATTCATTGTAGCTGAAGGGGAGTTCATTGCAGACTGTCTATCTTCTATAGGAACTCCATGAATACAACTGTAAATACCCTAAAGTGAAAATGAAAAACAGTTTAGTTTGTAGCATTGACTAATTTAAATTACAGTAAACTTAAATGAAAGCATATTAATATATACAATGGTAAGTCACTGTTGTATAGCATAATAAACAATTTTGTGAAAAAAAGAAAAGAAAAGTATATTAAAATATCAGTAAGCTGCAGGACATTGTGCCCTAGAATTTTACTATACACTACTCAAAAACTCTCACACCAATATTCACAAACACCCTAGAATCCTTCTTAAAGACTAAGATCTAGCAACAAATAACTGTGTGCATGCTGTATATTAGAGCTTAATTTAATAATATTAGTGATTATTTAATAATAATAGTGATTAGTTTTCAGCCTACAAGCATTGAACCCTCAGTGACCAGCCTAGGTACATTAGCCCCACGGTAGCCAGTTTCACATGTGCATTATTATTAACCCCTCTGCATCTAAAATATGAAGATTAATATTCCCGTGCCAGAATGCCTCTTATTTTGTAAGCTGGTAATAATAAAACTGAAAAGGGTATTGATTAAAACAATACGCCAAATAAAAGCTCCATATGTCCTTAAAGGTAAGGTTACAAATTTTAATGTTGGCTTATTATCAAGTAAACCGACACATACCAAACTGCTAAATTTGGTCTTGAAATTTAGGTATCAATTATTGTTATTATTATTATACAGGATTTCTATAGTGCCAACAGTTTGCTCAGCGCTTTACAATATAACGGGAGACAATACAGCAACAATACAGATCAATACAAGAGGGATTTGAGGGCCCTGCTCCTTGGAGCTTACAATCTAGGAGGGAGGGGCTAGTGACTGTGGGGGATGGACTGGTTGGAAGAGTAGAAGATTCCAGTATTAGCTTAGGGCAGGATAGGCTTCCCTGAAGAGATAGCTTTTCAGAGATCGCCTAAAAGTGAGCAGAGTAGGCGATAGTCTGATAAATTGGGGTAGAGAGTTCCAGAGGATGGGGGAAGCTCTGGAGAAGTCCTGGAGACGAGCATGGGAGGAGGAGACAAGGGATCTAGAGAGTAGGAGGTCTTGCGAGGAGTGGAGAGTACGGTTTGGGTGATATTTAGAGACAAGATCGGTGATGTAATTTAGGACAGAGTTATAAATGGCTTTATACGTTATTGTTAGTGTTTTGAAATTTATCCGTTGGGCAACGGGAAGCCAGTGGAGTGATTGGCAGAGAGGGATGGCAGATACAGAACAGTTAGTAAGGTGGATGATTCTGGCAGCAGCATTCATGATAGACTGAAGAGGGAATAGCCTGCGATGAGGTAGGCCAATGAGGAGGGAGTTACAATAGTCAAGGTGAGATATAACAAGGGAGTGAATAAGTTGCTTAGTGGTTTCCGAGGTTAGGAACAGGCGTATCTTGGAGATGTTGCGGAGGTGAAGTCTACAAGATTTGGACAGTGATTGGATTTGGGGCTGAAAGGACAGATGGGAGTCTAGGATTACACCTAGTACCCTGGCATGAGGGGAGGGAATGATGATTGTGTTATTGATCTTGATGGAGAAGTCAGGGGAGGGGGCAGGGGCTGGGGGAAATACTAAGAGCTTAGTTTTGGAAAGATTGAGTTTGAGGAAGTGGAGTGACATCCATGTCGATATGTCACTTAGTAGGTTAGTGATGCGAGAGGAGACTGAAGGGTGAGGTGAAGAAAGATAGATTTATGTGTCATCAGCATAGAGATGGTACTTGAAGCCATGGGAGTTTATCAAGTGACCAAGGGAGGAGGTGTAGATGGAGAAGAGAAGGGGTCCAAGGACAGAACCTTAAAGGGACCCCTACAGAAAGAGGGAGTAAAGAGGAGGAGGCAGCGTTATAGGTAACACTGAAGGAGCGCTGCGATAGGTAGGAGGAGAACCAGGAGAGAGCAGAGTCTCTGAGGCCAAAAGAGTGGAGTTTTTCGAGGAGGGGATGGTCAACCGTATCAAAAGCTGCAGAGAGGTCAAGTAGTAAGAGTATGGAGTAGTGGCCATTGGTTTTAGCAGTTAGTAGATCATTACTGAGTATAGGTAGGGTAGTTTCAGTGGAGTGTAGTGAGCGAAAGCCAGACTGTAGAGGGTCAAGAAGGTTGTTGTCGGTGAGGTGGGAGCTGGGGCGGCGATTGTAGACTAAGCATTCTAGGAGTTTAGAGGTAAATGGCAGCAGGGAGATGGGTCTTAAGTTGTTCAGGTTGGTGGGGTCCAGGGAGGGCTTTTTAAGTATGGGAGTGATGTGTGCATGCTTTAGAGGGGAGGGGAAGGCAACAGTAGAGAGGGAGAGATTGAAGATGTGAGTGAGGGAGCATAGGATGGAAGAAGAGGGTGACCGTAGTAGTTGTGAGGGGACAGGATCCAGGGGGCAGGTAGTGAGACGGGCTTCTGAGAAACCTTAGTGACCTCTTTGGTAGTAGCAAGGTCAAAAGAGGAAATTGTTGAGGGAGGTTTAGTATAAGGTATGCTAAGTGGGATGGATGTCTGTGCAGTGGCAATGCCCCTACGAATTGCATCAATCTTGTTTTTGAAATGATTTGCAATCTCGTGAGCAGTGAGTGAGGTACTGGGTAGGGGTGGAGGTGGAGAAAGTAGAGAGTTAAAAGTAGAGAAGAGACGACAAGGACTGGATGACAAGGTATTAATAAGAGTGACAAAGTAGGCTTGTTTGGCAACATGAAGGGAAAACTTGTATGTGTTAAGAGAGCAGATTTATATAGGGTGAATGCTTGTTGAGATTTGGTTTTACACCACAATCACTCCAGCGCACGACTATGTCGTTTAAGATTTCTGGTGTGGTCAGTCTGCCAAGGTTGTAACGTTCGTGGCCTGATGCTTTGTGTTGTTAGAGGAGCAAGTGAGTCTAATGCGGATGAAAGCGAACTGTTATAGACAGCAGTGGCCAGGTGAGGGCAGGACAGAGGAGAGATTATGTCATAGAGTTGGTCAGTTGCAGAGTGGAAAGGAGCAGGGTTCAAGTTGTGAAGGTTTCTGCGGGTAATAGTTTTCTGCTTGGAGGGATAGGTGTTTAAAGACGAGGTGATGAGATTGTGATCAGAGAGAGGAAAGGGGGTGTTTGTGAGGTTGTAGGGAGTGCAAAGACGGGAGAAAACAAGGTCTAATGTATTCCCATCAGAGTGAGTGGAGGACTGTATACACTGTGCTATTGCAAAAGATGAGGTTAGCTTGAAGAGTTGGGATGTAGTCGGGTTGTTGACATTAATAGGGATGTTAAAATCTCTGAGAATGATAGTGGGTAGTTCAGAGGAGAGAAAGTAGGGTAGCCAGGCGGAGAAATCATCGAGAAAGCGGGACACCGGTCCAGGAGGCCGATAGATCACTGCAATCCTCAGAGAAATGGGAGAAAACAGCGGGATGCAGTGAGTCTCGAAAAAATAGGATAGAGAGGGAGGGTTAGGGAGGACTTGAAAGGTGCTCAGTGGGGATAGAAGCAAACCAACCCCACCACCTTTCCAACCACTTGGTCTTGGTGAGTGGGTCCAGAGGAGGCCTCCATAGGAAAGTGCTGCAGGAGAAGCAGAATCTTCTGCTTGGAGCCAGGTTTCTGTAATTGCTAGTAGGTTAAGGGAGCGGGTGACAAAAAGGTCACGGACAGAGGTGAGCTTATTACAGACAGAGCAGGCATTCCAGAGCGCACATGAAAAAGGGAGTGTGGTTTTTGGGAGCACGGGGACCGATATTAAATTGAGGGGATTGCGGCTATTCCCAGAAGACAGAGGACGCCTGGTGTGGGGGTGAGATAGTGGAGGACCAGGGTTTGGAGAGATATCACAAGAGGTTAGGAGAAGAAGAAGGGTGAGGAAAGTAACATGGGAGCAGGATGTACACGAGTGCACATGCCTTCCAGTCCTGGTGTTTGGGTCAGCAAGAGAGTAAAGTATTATCAGGAGGTGATGAGAACAGTAGTAGGGAGATGGTAGCAGTGAGGGTGAGATGTACAAGTTTTGGGGTGGAGCAGAGGGGTAAAGAAGTGAGATTTTGGGAACGCAGGAAAGTAATATGAAAAGGAGGAGTAGAGGGGACATATTAAAAGGTACACAGAGAGGGACTCAGACTTGTAAGAGATGTTTTTCCAGGGTGTTTGCTTGCAGTCTGTCCAGAGTGCAGTAGAGTTTCTTGCTGTTGTATCTTCCTACTGTTTGAGTTATCCTGCTTTAGTTAAACTGCTGTGTTTACTGCGTCTTAGCACTCCATCAACGCAGCACTCACACAAAAGCAGCACCCCATCTGTGACTGTCCCCCCGATCTGTGACCACCCCCCATGAGCTGATCTAAATTAATAGAGAGATGGTCAAATGAGTACTCTGCTCCGCCCCAATTAAGAACTGATAATGATTACATGAATGGGGGGGGGATGTTTCTCAAACACAGGCTACAGTAATAAAAAAGGGTGCAACTAGAGATGAGAACTAATCAACAGACAAAAATATATATACACTATTTGATCTGAAATGAACAGGAGTCCATGCATTGTTGTAGTTAAGAGTGGAGTGGAGATAGCAGCATTACTCAAAAGCAGCACCCCACCTGTGACTGTCCCCCCGATCAATGACTTCTGGTCACAAAAAGGTTAAACCATCATGGGCCAGTCTTTACTGCACATTTGTTACCATAATCTCCATCACATGGGTATTAACCCCT